GGGCTTTGATTCGTGCATGGTTGTGCTCCAGGGGTTGTGTGTTTTGCAAGAGTTCCAGGTTTCTTTTTTTGCATTAATTGGTTGTTTGGCTCCGGTTAAAGTTAGTTCTGTAAGGCAAGGGTTGTGCATGTGGGCTTCGGTTCGTGCATGGTGTTAGGTAGGGCTAATGTTTCTTTGCTAGGGTCAGGTTGTTTCTTGTATGACTAATTGCATGTTTAGGGCTTCATTGTTGTATTTTTGCAAGAGTTCCAGGTTTCTTTTTGTTAGGGCTCAATTGTTTGTTTGCTTTGGCTCCAAAGTTAGTTTGGCTTGGTGTGGGGGGGGTTTGTTAGGTAGGGCTAAGGAAGGGTTTGTTTGCAGGGAGGGAGTTTGGTTAGGCTTGGGGCGTTTGGCATGGTGTGGGTTTGACAAGTTGTTTGGCTAGGCTTGCGGTTACACAACTGGTCGGGCTTCGGTTACACAACTGGTCGGGCTCCGGTTACAAAACTGGTCGGGCTCCGGGGGTGTCACTGGGGCTTCGGGTTGTGCATGGTCGGGCTTCGGTTCATGCATGGTTGTGCTCCAGAGGTTGTTTGGTTCGTTCATGCTAGATTTGTGGTTACACAACTGGTCGGGGTCCGGTTACACAACTAGTGGGGCTTCGGTTACACAACTGGTCGGGCTCCGGTTAATAACTGGTCGGGCTCCGGTTAATAACTGGTCGGGCTCCGGTTACTCAACTGGTCGGGCTCCGGGGGTGTCACTGGGGCTTAGGGTTGTGCATGATCGGGCTTTGATTCGTGCATGGTTGTGCTCCAGGGGTTGTGTGTTAGTGCCTCATGTTTCTTTGCTAGATCATCAGGTTGTTTCTTGACTATGACTAATTGCATGTTTATTTTCTAGGGCTTTATTGTTGTATTTTTGCAAGAATTCCGGGTTTCTTTTTGGGTATAGGGCTCAATTGTTTGTTTGCTTTGGCTCCAAAGTTAGTTCTTAAGGCAAGGGTGGGGTGGGGGTGTTGTTAGGTAGGGCTAAGGAAGGGTTTGTTTGGTAGACCTAGGGAGGGAGTTTGGTTAGGCTCTGGGGCTGTTTGTTTGGCTTGGTGTGGGTTTGATGAGTTGTTTGCATGCTAGGCTTGCGGTTACACAACTGGTTGGGGTCCGGTTACACAACTGGTCGGGCTTCGGTTACACAACTGGTCGGGCTCCGGTTACAAAACTGGTCGGGCTCCGGGGGTGTCACTGGGGCTTCGGGTTGTGCATGGTCGGGCTTCGGTTCATGCATGGTTGTGCTCCAGAGGTTGTTTGGTTCGTTCATGCTAGGTTTGTGGTTACACAACTGGTCGGGGTCCGGTTACACAACTGGTCGGGCTTCGGTTACACAACTGGTCGGGCTCCGGTTACAAAACTGGTCGGGCTCCGGGGGTGTCACTGGGGCTTCGGGTTGTGCATGATCGGGCTTTGATTCGTGCATGGTTGTGCTCCAGGGGTTGTGTTAGTTTTGCAAGATCATCAGTTCTTGACTAGGTTTCTTTTTGTTGTATTTTTGCAAGGCTCAATTTCTTTTTTGTATAGGGCTTTGTTTGCTTTGGCTCCAAAGTTAGTTCTTAAGGCAAGGGTGGGGTGGGGGGTGTTGTTAGGTAGGGCTAAGGAAGGGTTTGTTTGGTAGACCTAGGGAGTGAGTTTGGTTAGGCTCTGGGGCTGTTTGTTTGGCTTGGTGTGGGTTTGATGAGTTGTTTGCATGCTAGGCTTGCGGTTACACAACTGGTTGGGGTCCGGTTACACAACTGGTCGGGCTTCGGTTACACAACTGGTCGGGCTCCGGTTACAAAACTGGTCGGGCTTCGGGGTGTGCATGGTCGGGATTCGGTTCATGCATGGTTGTGATCCACAGGTTGTTTGGTTCGTTCATGCTTTGTTTGCGGTTACACAACTGGTCGGGGTCCGGTTACACAACTAGTGGGGCTTCGGTTACACAACTGGTCGGGCTCCGGTTAAATAACTGGTCGGGCTCCGGTTACACAACTGGTCGGGCTCCGGTTATCTTAACTGGTCGGGCTCCGGGGGTGTCACTGGGGCTTAGGGTTGTGCATGATCGGGCTTCGGTTCGTGCATGGTTGTGCTCCAGGGGTTGTGTGTTAGTGCCTCATGTTTCTTTGCTAGATCATCAGGTTGTTTCTTGACTATGACTAATTGCATGTTTATTTTCTAGGGCTTCATTGTTGTATTTTTGCAAGAATTCCAGGTTTCTTTTTGTGTATAGGGCTCAATTGTTTGTTTGCTTTGGCTATAAAGTTAGTTGTTAAGGCAAGGGTGGGGTGGGGGGGGGGTGTTGTTAGGTAGGGCTAAGGAAGGGTTTGTTTGGTAGAGCTAGGGAGGGAGTTTGGTTAGGCTCTGGGGCTGTTTGTTTTGCTTGGTGTGGGTTTGATGAGTTGTTTGCATGCTAGGCTTGCGGTTACACAACTGGTTGGGGTCCGGTTACACAACTGGTCGGGCTCCGGTTACGGTTACACAACTGGTCGGGCTCCGGTTACAAAACTGGTCGGGCTCCGGGGGTGTCACTGGGGCTTCGGGTTGTGCATGGTCGGGCTTCGGTTCATGCATGGTTGTGCTCCAGAGGTTGTTTGGTTCGTTCATGCTAGGTTTGTAGTTACACAACTGGTCGGGGTCCGGTTACACAACTGGTCGGGCTTCGGTTACACAACTGGTCGGGCTTCGGTTACACAACTGGTCGGGCTCCGGGGGTGTCACTGGGGCTTCGGGTTGTGCATGATCGGGCTTCGATTCGTGCATGGTTGTGCTCCAGGGTTGTTGTTAGTGCCTTTTTGCTAGATCATCAGGTTCTTGACTATGACTAATTGCATGTTTATTTTCTAGGGCTTCATTGTTGTATTTTTGCAAGAATTCCAGGTTTCTTTTTTTGTATAAGGCTCAATTAATTGTTTGCTTTGGCTCCAAAGTTAGTTCTTAAGGCAAGGGTGGGGTGGGGGTGTTGTTAGGTAGGGCTAAGGAAGGGTTTGTTTGGTAGACCTAGGGAGGGGGTTTGGTTAGGCTCTGGGGCTGTTTGTTTGGCTTGGTGTGGGTTTGATGAGTTGTTTGCATGCTAGGCTTGCGGTTACACAACTGGTTGGGGTCCGGTTACACAACTGGTCGGGCTTCGGTTACACAACTGGTCGGGCTCCGGTTACAAAACTGGTCGGGCTCCGGGGGTGTCACTGGGGCTTCGGTTCATGCATGGTTGTGCTCCAGAGGTTGTTTGCTTCGTTCATGCTAGGTTTGTGGTTACACAACTGATCGGGGTCCGGTTACACAACTAGTGGGGCTTCGGTTACACAACTGGTCGGGCAAGCAAGTAGATGGGGTCGCCATGGGTTCTCCCCTAGGTGTCCTGTTTGCAAACTTCTAAATGGGTACCATCGAGCAAAAAGTCTTAGTCGACATGAACTTGAAACCGGCCATATACTGCAGGTATGTTGACATTTTTACACAGGTACCTGATGTCAGACATCTGCAGGAGCTGAAGGAGGCATTTGAGCAGAGTTCCGTGCTGCGTTTCACTTACGAGATGGAAAAGGATGGGAAGCTGCCCTTTCAAGATGTAACAGTCATGGAAAAGAGCGGAGGTTTCCACACTGCAGTCTACACTAAGGAAACGAACATAGGAATGTGCCTAAATGCCAACAGCGACTGCCCAGACAGGTACAAGAGGAGTGTTTTTAACGCATATGTCGACCGTGCTCTCAGCCACAGCTCAGAATGGAAGCAAGTCGACGAAGAACTCTGTAGGGTAAGGCAGGTCCTAGTCAACAACGGCTTCTCCAATGGTTTCGTCGAAGACATCATAAGAAGGAAAGTGAAACGCCATGCAACCTCTGAAGAGACAACTAACACAACACCTATACCCCCTATTAGACTATTTTACAGGAACTTCTTTTCCACAGCTCATAAAACGGAGGAAAGGGTCCTGAAAGAAATAGAAACGTTATCCCTACAGACAAAAATCAGAGGATACAACTGACGATTTACTATAAAACCAGAAAAACGGCCAGCCTACTGATGAGAAACTCTCCAGACACAAAGCAGAACGCTTTAAAAGAGACCAACGTCGTCTATGCCTTCAAATGCCCTCTTGGGGACTGTAAGCTCCAAAAAACCCAGTATATAGGCAAGACAACAACATCTCTTTCTAGGCGTTTAACGATGCATAAGCAACAGGGCTCCATTAAGGAACATATAATCTCTTCCCACAACCAAACCATCGCCAGAGAAATCCTAGTAAACAACACAGAAATCATCGATAGATACAGCGATAGCAGGCGGCTTAACGTTTGCGAGGCACTACACATTAAGAAGTCAACACCAGCAATCAACAGCCAATTAATGCACAACTATATTCTACCCACCTCAAGACTCCGCTCCAATATAGAAGCATCAAGAAATATGGACCAATAGGCTTTCTACAATCACTTCCATTCAATACCCATTGTTTCGTGTTCTGTCTTGTGTTGATGAATTTAATACCCTATTAAAACCACCTCACCCCATCCACCTCACTAAAATGTAGATATAAACAAATCGGAGATGTGTAAGTTCTATTCAGTTGTGTATGTGTTAACTAAAGTCTTTGAAAATGTAATAAGTTTTACGAAACGCGCTCAAGTGTCGCGTCAGACTAGAAATAAAAATGAATTTTCGAGAATTGATTTTTGAATTACCACCAACAGTGAAAAGAAATGTACGAAAGATTGAGAAAATTCGTGTTAGAATTATTAATCTTACTTTTTCGGTCATATTTAATAATATATATATATATATATATATATATATATATATATATATATATATATATATATATATATATATATATATATATATATATATATATATATATATATATATATATATATATATATATATATATATATATATATATATTATATGTGTGTGTGTGTGTGTGCAGAAATACTGTAATATTAATAAAACAATTAACATCGTGTAGTGTACTCTATATATCAAAATATATTACTTTGTAGTGGTGGAGCACTCGCTGTTGACATTTGGAGGGTGACTCTTGTAAGTTGTGTGGTCAGTGATGGCTACGGCCGACGCCGATGTCTTTCCTGACAACTTTACTGCCGATAAAGCTAAAGGTATTTCAGAGCCTCTCGTGTCATTGAGTGTTGTGTTAAGCTGTTATGTATACAGTTAATTTTATCAAGCAAAAGTTAAATAAATTCCTACGTGACCCAAAAAGAATGATAAATAGATGGCCCTGTTTTTACACAACTTGCGTTGGTTGTAATGCAATGCCCATAACATGTATTGAGTTAGCAGTTGATCAGTCACTAGTTCGGTATTGTGTTCTAAAACATTGTTAACCTGACCACCAGGAATGACCCAACATAACGTTTCTGCACATGGTTGGAACATGGACCATATTAGAGAAATTGCAGCATTTTTCTAGGAAGAACTGAAGAATCACCTGAACAGAGAATCCCTATCTAACGTAAGGATTGTGAATATATATCATGTAGTGGAATTTAGGTTTGGGTACTATTTGTTAATGGTTGGTTGAGCTTGGCTTGTCAGTGGAAAGGAGTGCAGTGCAAAACACCTGTGGCCTCATCTTAATTAATAAATGTATTATATATATGCACGGGACCATATAACTTGCTATCGTGAGAGTGCAGGGCAAGGGCAGGACGTTGTTAGGTTAGATTTTAAAATATGTTGGCAAACTGGCTTGTGTATTCTATGCTTAAGTTTTATGGAAAATTCTAGAATCAGTTTCAATTTACAGTACTTAGTTACTTAGAAACTCTAGCATCACCACAAAGTTTTGTATGCTTTAATATGTCTTGCCAGAACATAAATCTGTTGAGTGGAATTTTTAATTTATAAAACTTTGAAAACTAGTACATGTCGGGATGGTTGACACAGGCAACTCCTTAGCATTGCTCAAGCTAGCCTTGTGTTGTTAAATAATGCAAACTTCATTACCAAAAACAAAATCTACCCAGCAACTGGGTCAAGTCTGCTACTTTCTTCCTACCTCTCCTGCTCCTATTTTAACTCTACACCCACTTCACCTCCCACTTTGTGAGAAGATCAGTCTCCGTGAGCAGTCTCCATGGTGTAGTGGTAAGACACTCGCCTGGCGTTCCGCGAGTGCTATGTCATGGGTTCGTATCCTGGCCGGGGAGGATTTACTGGGCGCAAATCCTTAACTATAGCCTCTGTTTAACGCAACAGTAAAATGTGTACTTGGATGAAAAAACGATTCTTCGCGGCAGGGGATCGTATTCCAGGGACCATAGGATTAAGGACTTGCCCGAAACGCTACGCATACTAGTGGCTGTACAAGAATGTAACAACTCTTGTATATGTCTCAAAAAAAAAAAAAAAAAAAAAAAAAAGTGCTAAGTAGAATGGTAGATGTTTCATAAGAATGAAGGTAACTGCAGAAGGCCTATTGGCCCATATGAGGCACACGAGGCAGAGTTCCTTGTCCGAAACTCTGGACGAAATCACACTTCGATGATTTCTGCGTTTCATTCAATCTCGGTAATGCACTAGTTCCAAAATTCTGGTCACTTTGTACAAAATATAGAATGTTTAATTCTTACTCAAACTTCTTGTGTATTTATGATATCCTGTGCACAAATAAAAAACTAAAATATTAATTTTAAGTAATTAAAAATTGGATACTTATGTGAGCAATGGACCTTCATGTTTCGTACTGAATGGTATGTCGATAAATACTGACCTGCAGCTATGGAAAGTGTCTACTTAGGAAATAAATGCTTGTTGGAAGCAGTCTGAAACTAAATACTGTATTAGCAGTATTTCCTATTAGTAATATTTATATATATAAATACTTTACATACATGTATGTAAATATTGTTAAATATTATTTGTGTGTAAATTGTATATAAATATTATTTGAATTATACCTGGTACATTTATACTGTACTTGTCTTCTCAACTGTATTTTATTAATAATGCTGAATTCTCCTTTTCAGCGGCATTGAGAGAAATTTTGGCTGCTCTTACTGGAGGTGAAGTTGTAGAAGCTTTAGAAGCAGCACGAGAAGCTGCCGGCAATGACATGGTGGCACTTATGACTAGAGTATTTCCACTTGTAACTCAGGTCACTACAAAAGTTATCAGCAACTATGGCTTCACTCAAGATGGAGTTGGTAAGTTGGCTGCAAGAAAACTACATTATTATGTACTTTTTTTTCTATTGAATACAGTATTGTCTTATTATCCAGAGAGAATTTATTTAATACAATCTGATTTTTAACATTGGTCGAGATGAAATTGAACCAACAATCATACTAAGTTTATGAACTACACCAGAAACGTCAAATGTGAGATATACAGTATTAAGAGAAACATTTCATTTCTGCCCAACTTTTATTTCTTGAACATGGGCATATTTATTTATGATTAAATTGCATTCACACTATTGTGTTAATTTTTTAAAATTCTGCATTTAGAGATAAATCTTTGGTATATCAGTATCCCTTAATTCTAAATATCATACGTTCTTTAAAACTCAGCTTGAGTATTGCTTGCTGTAGTCTCCCAGTGTTACGTCAAACTTAAATTGAAATAATTTTTTCGTTTCATACCATTGTGAACGTCAGTTTTATTAGATCTTGGTTTGTTATTCATGATACGATTAACTTAAGGGCCACAATTTCTAGTGAACAAGATTGTAAAAGAGAGTTGGTGGCTTGTGAAAGGGCCTTCCTCTTTTACCCATCAGGAATTTTTCCCAACTATATTCTAAACTGAAGCACTGTCTTGGTATTTATGGCTTGAGTAGTAGGTGATTTCATAGGTTTATTACCTTATGGGTGAAAAAGCATCTCTTGATGACTAGTTCACAGTGTGGCTTGTTGGTCTTGCAAGATGTTGCCCCTTGTCTGAGTTATATTGAACCTTTTTAAAGAAGTGGTCTACATTAATGTTCCCTAATTTGTTCAGTATTTTAAAAGAACCTGGTGAGATCAGCTGTCATGTTTTATTTGCAGTTATTAGTCCTGAGGCACTCAGTCTGACAAAATAATTGTTAGTATTCATAGATGGAAAGAACATTGTGTTTTTTCTTACTAAATGTTTAATGACAATGCAAACAAAAATAATTGTTTATCCCATTTTGGCACTTTTTGGGGACCATCCACAAAATTAGTACAGTACCTACAGTGAATGGGTTTATGGGATACTGCAAATATGGTCAATATCAGCCCTTTCTCCAATCTTTTATAATATATACTGTATATATATATATATATATACACAATAACATGCAGTATCGTAAATAACGTGCAGTATCGTCAAATTACAGTACTGTACCTGCATTTGAAAGTTACTGGACTGAATAATTTCCATTTACTTAATTGCAGTACTTATACAATATATGAAATCTGGTTAATTATTGTTTTTATTTTTACATGGAAGAAAGTAATGACTAATATATATCTCTAATAGCCAGGTTATCACACTTGATTGTTTTCTTCAGATATTTCAAACAGCTTCCTAAACTGTTTTTAATGTAGGAGTCCATTGTGTAATACAGTATATTTAGAAAGATTACAAATGAGGCAATGTCCTCAAGGTAAGCAGTTTCTTGTGGGAAAAGGCATCAAATATAGGCTTATGCATTTTAGCTAGATAAAAGCTCTGAAATTCTTTCTTATTAGAGAGAGATGTAGGAAAATAATATCAATGATTCACATTTCAGATTATAATGACAGAATTTACGCTTTCTCTTCAGGAGCAATCCAGTTTGAACATGTGATGAAAAATCTTGGTCAGGATGACGCAGAAGTTGCAAGACTTCATGCACAAGTTCGATCATATTTTCTACCAGCTGTTGTCATACCGCCATCCGGTCATCCTTAGTAACACACATATTTTAGGACTTCATCAATTTATTTAGCTATCATTGTTTTAAGGAGGAAATAATTCTATTAACTTGCCTTGTGATTTGAACTACATGTACAGTACGGTTGATAAGCTGATACTGGTAGGAATGGATAGGTGGACAAAAGGTTGTTACTAGGACATTAAGAGTACAATATCTCTACTTTGTTCTACAATGTTTGTTGACTTAGTAATGCAAATAAATATTAGTTTAGGCTTGTAAAGAGGAATAATGTTTTTCAAAGTAATAGGCAATAAATATGTTGACCAAACCACACTAGAAATTGAAGAGACGACGACGTTTCAGTCGTTGGACTTGAGGAACACAAAAATGTTAAGTCTGCAAACTCTTCTGTCATGTTAGGGATTCTAATCATCCTATCGATTGGTTTTCCTCTAAAATAATCTTTTCTGCCTCTACTCTTCACAGATGCCGTCTTCTCGAATCGACTCTGATACACAACCTTCCCAACATGAACCAGAGTCCAGGCTTTGTTGCTGTTGACTCTTCCCTTTCACAGTACATACTCAAATGTTCTAAAATTTCTAATAAGCCTGCCCTTCCTTTTATCTTTTTCTTTTTTCTTATGATCCCTTTCTTATTTCTATTACACCTTACCTTCCATACCTTTTGCCTTGCTCTTATCATCCTCTAAGATTTCCTCTCCTCACCTCTCTCTCGCCTACTTAATGCCCTTGCCTTCCTCATCTCATCAATCAACTTGATAATGGTCCAAGACGGACAGAAACGTCGTCGTCTCTTCAATTTCTACTGTGTGGTTTGGTCAACATTTTTCAGCCATGTTATTGTGACTCGCCATCTGCAGGCAATAAATACATCATGCATCTTTAATTTTATTGAAGTTTTGTGAATAATCAATTTCATTAAAGTTACAATTCCCTCAGCTTAATCATTTAGAGTTTATTAGACATTTCCTTATTAATAACAATTACAATATCTGTATACAGTACTTTACTCATAGGAAAAACTGAATGAATGCTGAACTGCACAAATGAGGATCTTAAATGTATAGTACTCGGAAGTTCATAGATGAGCTTTATTTTTAAGGATGACTGACTGGAGATGTAAAACCTTTGTATTGTATAGTGTTTACCTTGGATTTTGTTAATAAATATATATGAGGTATACTTTCTTACTTTCTTTATACTTTCTGAGTTCATTACTGGACTAGAATTATTTATTCTTGGGAAGGGAAAAGAATAATGTTACTTATCTCCATCCATTGCAAAATTATTGTTGAATAATACATGAATGATTTGACACTATTTGAAATTCAGTTTATTTACCTTTAATTTCAGCCAGACAGGAAATGACCCATATGCAGAATAATTTTCATTCATTAATAATTAAACTTTAAGTAAAATCTTTAGTAAATTTGACAAACACAAGAATGCTACATAATGTCAGACCAGTTCTGGAAAATTAATTCTCTTCAAACATGGAATGAAATTGGAGGAAGTTCAGAGGTATGTCATAAAACTAGTACCAGAGCTGAAAGGCATGATATGAAAAAAGACTGAAGGAATTGAACCTTTGAATTGAAGTTCAACTAGGGAAAGTGTAAAGTAATGAAATTAGGCGAAGGGAGCAGAAGGCTGAACACAAGGTTCAAAATGTTTATTCAGGTAAAAGTACATATACAGAAGATGAGTTACAAACATAATGTTGGATTTATAAATAGAGTTAGTACACACGATACCTAAAGCCACCAATACACACTGCATTTCGGGCAAAAGGTACAACCTAGGAGGTGAAATCCTTCGAGAGTCAGAGTGAAAGATCTGGGGGTTGATATCACACCTAACCTGTCCCCAGAAGCCCACATCAAAAGGATATCATCATCAGCATATGCTAGATTGGCCAACATAAGAACTGCCTTTTAAAACTTGTGTAAGGAATCGTTTAGGACCTTGTATACAACTTATGTCAGACCAATCCTGGAATATGCAGCTCCAGCCTGGAGTCCATACCTAGTTAAACAGAAGACAATGTTAAAGATTCAGAAGTATGCCACCAGACTAGTCCCAAAACTAAGAGCTACGAGGAAAGGCTATGGGAGCTAAACCTCACGTCCCTGGAAAACAGAAAAGTAAGGGGAGACATAATAACCACCTACAAAATTCTCAGGGGAATTGGTAGGGTGGACAAAAGCAAACTCTTTAGCACGGGTGGAACACGAACAAGGGGTAACAGGTGGAATCTTGGTACCCACATGAGCCACAGAGACATTAGAATTGTTTTCAGTGTCAGAGTAGTTAACAAATGGAATGCATTAAGCAGTGATGTGGTGGAAGCAGACCCATACACAGTTTCAAATATAGATTTGATAGAGCCCGGTAGGTTCAGGAATCTGTACACCAGTTGATTAACAGTTGAGAGGCGGGGCCAAAGCTCAACCCCCGCAAGCACAACTAGGTGAGTACACCATACATATCTGGCATCCACATCACATATACCTGGGCTCCACACCACACACACCTGACCTCTACGCCACATGCACACTTGACCTCCACACAACACACACCTGACCACACCATACACATGTGACATCCACTTCACTTCATAACCTGACCTCCACACAAACCTGGCCTACACAGTATCTAGCCTACAACTTTGTACAGACAGACAAATGACATTCTTATAGTATAGATATATGCTAGGAGGCGTACCCAGCAGTGCCTGGGATAGTGTCTCTCATCCCCGCCCCAAGTACTTCCCTCCCTACATCTCCCTCTCCATGCATCATCCCTCCCCTCCCTTTTCCCCCTCTTCATCCCTCTTCCCCCTTCCCCGCTCTCCCTTTCTTAATCTCTCTGTCCCCTGGTGGCTCAGTAAAAACAAACTCCCTGTACTTTGTTTAATAAATGTAACCAAAGCCGTCAAAGACTGAGCAAAGATGTACACGTTCGTAAGTGCTTGCGTAACTGCTTCGTGAATCTGGCTCCTGGTTGTTAAATGATTGGCATGTCATATTCCAGGGAAACTAATGGGTAAGGCTTACCATGAGCTATGGGAAGGGGGTAAGCATTCAGCCTGTTTACAGGAGTTGGCAGTCATCTGTTTCTGCACCCACCTGTGTAAAAAAAAAAAATACCCAATTTAACTTTTCTCCCCAACCCTCACTCTTTTTCTCACCCCGCATCTCCCCCTCTCACCCCTCACTACCCTACCCCTTTCCCATCCAACCTCAGACAGACGGAAACTTCCATTTATATACCGTAATGGGCACCCAGCTGCACCCAGGTCTCTTCCCCACCTTCACCCCCTCTTTTCCCCTTTTCCATCCTTTTTCCCCTTTTTCCCACTTCACCCCATCTCCCCCTTCACCTCCCTCATCCCAATCCTCTTTTCCTCCCTCTCCCTCTTCTCAGAAAATGTACTATTAAGAAGCACTAAAACTGTATAGGTCTCAGAAAATATATTATTACGATCACTAACACTCTATGGGAATTAGACTATATTTCACCCTTGACTCCATGAAAATTGCATGGAGGGTATCAATAATTGATAATATTTCTAGTTTGCATTTGCATGCTGGTGGTTCATTAGTGAGAGGAGCCTATAGTAGTGTGTCCAACCACTTGTCCTGAACGATAGAGTGACGGTCTCGCTTCATGCAGGTCAGCGTTCAATCCCCGACTGTTTAAGTAGTTGCAGGGCACCATTCCTTCCCTCCGTTCCATCCCAAATCCTTATCCGATCCTGATCCCTTCCAAGTACTATATAGTCGTAATGGCTTGGTGTTTTCTCCTGATAATTGTCTTGCCTTTGATAAAGGGGTGAGGCTTAAGAAAACCTTTGAAGCGTTGAGAGAATCATCTGTTTTATGCTACTACGGGCAAAGTATTAACAGCATTTTTTTTTCCCCCAGTGTCAGTGAATAATGTTGGATACACCATTATAATACATCATATATTTTTATAGATAACATTATACGCTACATTATATGCAACTTTTATATGCAACAGCAGTGAATAATATTGCATTACTGTATTTTTTTACGATATTTAGCTAGGGGTAGATGGTGGGCAGTGCCAAGAATTTTTGTGGGGGCCAGAATGAGGCCTTTGCATGCTGTTCCTTCTTGAATTCTGGTGGCCCCGGCCAGGTTATGTCCACCCTGTACCCCACAGTATTCCCCCTGCAAAGTTGGCTGATGGTGAGCCCAATTAAGCATCTGCCTCCATCTTTGAACAAATAAGCAAACAGTCTTTCTTTAATATATGTTAATATGTCTATATACACATAAATTATTCATGTCACCAATTGTGATATTAACCTGTATATATAGTAATACGAATGTATTGTAATAAATGGTTTACATCATTCTTCATTCATAAAGGTAACAGCAAGTCCTTAATTAAGTTTACTTTTATTAGTATTTTTTATAGTTCAGCTTGTCCTCTTGAATAATACATCACATAAGGATGCTACTACAGCCAAATCGTTTTCACATAAGGATGTAAAAATCCACAACGGCCAAAATATGATGTACTGTACTATAAATCACAGCAGCTCAAAAAAGTATCCGTTTTCTATGCGTGGGTCGCCGGTTAGGTTAGGCTAGGCTCTGGTAACTTAATAAATCGTCTTCTGTCCGTTGTGACAACACTAGAGGCCGAGCTGCCTACATGTGCAGTGTAAAGTTTCACCAAGTAACGTACAAGTTCTCAAACAGTGTTGGTTAGCGTTGACGCTCCGCGGAGCACACTTTGTTGACATACTGATACATACTATATATATTACATATGTCATATTATATGTAAATAGGAAGAAACCGTGTATGTATAAACGCTCAAATAAAAACTTTCAAAGTGAATGTTATAAAAACTGTGATCCTGTTTTAGTTGGTGTTAAAGAGCGTAGCGGGAGGAGGAGTTAGGAGCGTGTGGAGAGGTCGTCAGGTTGGTGGCCAAAATAAACCAGTGACAAGACGGTGGTGTGGCGGCTGGCGGGTGTGTCCTGGGCGTCCCTCTCCCTGCTGCTTCAACTATGGCTTCACAGGATGTTCTCTGTCTGTCTCTAGGTCAGTACCTCTAGCAGGAGTCTAGGGGGGGCCGTGTCGCGTGGCTCGAGGTGGTCGCTGTGTGCACTCGAACTTTTTAACGCTTCTGAGTTTGTTGGGGGTAACGGGAGGCTTTAACCTTTTTACATTTTCTGATATTAATTTGCTTTTAAGTTAAGAGAGTCTCTGACACCAGCTGTTTAAGAATCAGACATGTACTTGTGGATGTTGTTTACCGTAAACAGAATGGTTCATGTTCGTACAGGAGAGATGCTTACCAGCACTCATGAGCACTGGTGATGCTGACCCATAGAGAGCCTGGCAGACAGACAGGCAGGCACCAAGGAAGGCTGGCCACAGGTCAGGCTGTGGTAGTGGGAAGTTTCGAAATCATTATGTATTAAAACTCTACTAGATGTATCAAGACATTGTGTTCAGGGCTAATGCACTTAATGTACCTGAAATTACTTGGGCTGGAGGGTAGAGCAACGGTCTCGCTTAGTGCAGGTCTACTCTCGATCGAATGCAAGTTTTGATGAGATCAGCCCTGTCATGTCTGGTTTGCAGTGATGTTAGCCCTGTGGCCCTCAACAATTCCTAATATGGAATTCGACTTAGTTCAGGAATGATTTTTGTCGCCCAGTGTTGGACGTTATCCAAAGTAGATACTGTACGTCTTTCTGAAAATGAGGTCTCCATGCTTGGATACAATGCTTGGAGTAAATACAATAATCCAAGTGAGGGTGCACAAGAGATTTATACAAGTTGGATAACTGCCTTCTTTTCCCTGAAATCAAAATTATGTCTGACTATTCCTAGGATTTGGTTGGCTTTTTTTTTTTTTATACTACGAGTGGTGTGACCAACACTGAACCCAGCTCATTTTCTGAAAATTTATAAAAGGGCCATACAAGGAGGATTCCTAGAAATACCTTTAGAGTGAAATAAGTTGGGACTGAGCACTGTGAACATCTAGAAGCATGAAAGGGATATGAGTGGTATCCTTGACAGGTATTAATCACATCAAAATTACATGGAACCAACAGCCCCCATCAAACGGTCACACACACACCGAACCACACTTTTCCCAGAAAGAGGTACCCAGAATTACGATGAGAAATGCTCTGACTCCTCTCGCAGAAAATGACTGAAAGGGCAAATTAATATCCTCAAACACTCAATGCAACATCTACATGCAAAATGAGGACAGAAAAATGAGGTGAGTGATAGTCAAATTGTTCTAACAAATAAGTGGAACTGACTAAGCCATATGCATACTGGTGAGATAATGCACTGTAGACGTCGGTTACTGAATAACCAAGGATTGGCACAAACATCTTTGGCAGTCACAGTTGTCTTGGATACTTACAAAGGCACATTATATTGCAGCTAGGACAAGAGCTTCCCAAGAGAGTAACTGAGTAGAACAGCTAGGAAATGTATTGTAATTTTGAAATCGTACAAATTTCAAGTGACAGGTACTAGTACTGTACTGTATATACAGTACTGAAACTTAAATGACAACTGGTATAATGGTTTCCCACTATTGGAGATGGAAGCCTGTTTGGGCTTTTTGAGGTTCCCTAAATAAATATTTTCTACTAGGATCCTGCAGACCTTCCTCAGTTCTGCAAAATTTATATTATATGGCAAACAGAAAGTAACAAAAATATGAGCTGGAATTTTAATAAATATTTGTCACATTGAGGGGTTCCTCAATAGAAGAAACACATTTTAGGGATTTTGTCATGGTAGAAAGATTAGGAATTGTCATCCTAGACCAACAACTGACCTGTCCTAGGATGAAATTTACAACAAACATCTGATTTCCAGTTACCTATTTACTGCTGGGTGAACGTACATGGGTGTTAGGTAACGTGCCTAACTGTATGTGTACCCGTGAATCAAACTTGGTACATTGGATGGTGAGCCAACAGTGCTAGTTACTTACAGGTCACATGTTACTGTACATGCAATCTTGGAACTGCAGTGTTTCAGATTTTGGCACATGACCTAAGTAGGTTAGATTAAATTGCTTCCCTTTATTTTTGTATGCAATGTGAAAAAACTGAATGCTTTAAGTACAGTACTTGTCTCACATGTTAAACAGTAACACTATATCAAATCCTACCTTAACACTGTACTTGTCTCACATGTTAAACAGTAACACTATATCAAATCCTACCTTAACACAGTAACACCTCAAATCCTACCTTACTGACAGGCTCCAATGTGTTTCTGTGAATAATACAATTTCTCCCACACTACCCATCAACATTGGTGTTCCCCAGGGCAGCATACTTGGCCCTCTCCTCTTTCTCATCTACATTAATGACCTTCCAAATGCCTCCCAACACCTCAAACCAATTCTATTTGCTGATGACACAACCTTCATTTACTCCAGTCCTGATCCCCTTGCTCTAAATGCCACAGTAAATACTGAGCTTAATAAAGTCCATCTGTGGCTAACTGCCAACAAACTCACCCTTAACATTGACAAAACTTTCTATATTCTGTTTGGCAATAAATCCTCTAATCAAATAAATCTCAAAATAAACAATACCCAAATTTGTAAAAAATTTGATGGCAAATTCCTTGGCATTCTCATTGACCACAAGCTGAATTTCCAGGGACACATTCTAAACATATCAAAAAAAGTTTCAAAAACTGTGGGCATTCTTTCTAAGATCAGATATTATGTACCACGCCCTGCCCTGGTGACTCTCTATTACTCCCTTATCTATCCATATCTCAACTATGGTATTTGTGCTTGGGGCTCTACTACCCAAAATCACTTACATCCTCTAATTACTCAACACAAAGCTGCTATTAGGACAATATCCAATTCTGGCCCCAGACATCACTCGGTACCCCTACTCAAATCTCTGAATATGTTAGACATTAAGTCACTGCACATTCTCTCATGTGTATTATACATATATAAAACGCTAAACTATAATGCCAATCCTGATCTCAAAAGCTTCATAGAAGGTTGTAACAGAACCCATGAGCACCACACCAGAAATAAATACAGTTTTGATATTCCTAGAGTACGACTAAATCAAACCAGAAATGCTCTACAAATCAAGGGGCCCAGAATGTGGAATGACCTTCCCAACCATGTTAAAGACTGTACCTCTCTCAACCAGTTTAAGTTAAAAACGAAGCTATACCTAATAAATTCCATGTAACCCACCTTACCCCCCTGTTGTCAACCCATGTATATTTTTTGTTTTTTTTGTTTTTCAAATCAACGCTGTTTGAATGTAATTTTCTGTAATAATTTGTAATTGTATTTGTGCTGCTTTTTCAACAATGTTCCCCCCTCTTTTACCTCTATTTTTTATATGTACTCATCACATCTTTTCTTTTTACCCATTAGTTTTAAGCTGTAGTCATTAATGTTTTTCCTGCCCGAAACGCTTTGCGTAATAGTGGCTTTAGGCATTGTATGTACTAGCTCTATCTATAAAGCCAACAAACTTTGTAAATCTCTTTATGTATGTACCTTACCTAAATAAAGATTATTATTATTATTATTATTATATAGATAACTTTGAGTTTATCATTATTTGTGCTTTACATGTTTATTGTACTGTATACTTTTGATGAATATACCACTTCAGAAAAATAACTGATTCTTCAACTTTACAGATGATATCATCAAAATGAAAAACAGGGGTCGTGGTGGGAGAGGTGCAAGAAGAGGAAGGGGTCGTGGTAGAGGAGCAACAGCTGGAAGAGATGCAGGATTCTTGAGGGGCGACAATGTGGATGGCAGTGGAATCAGAGGGCGAGGAAGGGGTGCTCGTGTTCTATCCACAAAAATTGGTGCCATGGGTAAGTACTACAGTATTTTTTATTTTTTTCTTCAACTAAGATTTTGAAATTTGATTCTCAGCAATGGTAGGTCTTGACAGAGACATCTCTAAATTTAAATTCCTATATCTGTGTAATATATAATGAATTGTAAGTAATTTATATTTTTCAAATAATATTTCAACAGATTTGAACAGAAACTTAATTTTTGTTCATTAAAATATGATACTAATTAACTAGTCTAAGCAATTTTTTATATATAGCCTTAAAAAGGACTGTATATATATATATATATATATACAGGTGACGTAAGAAGTTAGAGGTATTGCTAGCCTGTTGAATATAGGTCTCATTTTTGTTATAAAATATTAAACGAGACATCTTTCAGTATTCATCAAGATCACACTTGTTGGTGATTGAGTTAAAATATTTAGTCCATGTGCAGGGTATTGGTGAGGGTATTAGTAAATGCATAATAGGATATTTTGTACAATATGCTATATCATTGTTTAACCTTAATAACACAAGATATTATGTTCCTAGTCTCTCTTTTTAAAACTGATTCTAATTGATCTTGTGCATAAACTTGGCATTAATGTAAATAGGCCATTACAAATATTTGTAATCAGTTACTTTCATATCCTATGACCACATGAGATAATCTAGTTTCTTATGACTTTGAAAATGTGATTTTTTCTTGTTTGATTTTTTTTTCTTTTGAGATATATACAAGAGTTGTTACATTCTTGTACAGCCACTAGTATGCGTAGCGTTTCGGGCAGGTCCCTGGAATACGATCCCTGCCCCAATGAATCGTTTTTACAACCAAGTACCCATTTTACTGTTGAGTTAAATAGAGGCTACAGTTAAGTATTTGCGCCCAGTAAATCCTCCCCGGCCAGGATACGAACCCATGACAAAGCGCTCGCGGAACGCCAGGCGAGTGTCTTACCACTACACCACGGAGACTGGTTCTGATTCATATTTTATCTCGACAAAGGTCACACCATCAAATAGGTTCTTTTACTGTCAACTTTTACATGTTAAGTAGTTTCATATTTTCATATTTATACAGGCTCGCTGCGGGATCAAAGTAGAGGGCGAAGAGGTGGATTAGTTTCCCGTGCAAGAGGAGCCTTGGTGGCACGTACAGGAAGAATTAACACAAGAGGAGGAAGAGGCATTAATGCAAGAGGAGGAAGAGGCATTAATTCAAGAGGAGGAAGAGGCATTAATGCAAGAGGAGGAAGAGGCACTAATGCTAGAGGAGGAAGAGGCACTAATGCAAGAGGAGGAAGAGGCATTAATGGTAGAGGAGGAAGAGGCACTAATGCAAGAGGAGGAAGAGGCACTAATGCAAGAGGAGGAAGAGGCATTAATGCTAGAGGAGGAAGAGGCATTAATACTAGAGGAGGAAGAGGCATTAATGCCAGAGGAAGAGGAGAAAGTATTATTAACAGATTAGGACAAGGAAGAATAGCAAACCCTAAAGAAGAATCAAGTAGTTTTGAGTACGAACATCAGGTTAGTAGTTATAAAATATTGGGTAGACGAGAAGTAAGGGAGCTGAATATAGAGCACCACTAGCATGATTGAGGCCACTGATATGAGGATGCAGCTCTTAGACTTTATATGAACTTTGTTTCATCATTAATTCGTTACTGCACTGGATAATTTGGGACACATTACTATTAGTAGTCACGATAATGCTTAGCTCTTGATCTTGTATTTTATTGTAAACCTAAATAATGTTGTCTTAAGTTCTGTTATACAATTAGTTTTAAGAATGAAGTTCAGGAAAATAGGTAATTGATATTATATTTAGGATCCATGTACACCTAGAAATTTTTCAGAGTTTAAATATAAAAGTAATTAGCTCAGTTTTGAATTGTTTTGAATCTATTTCTAATACAAATGTTAAGTGATAATATCTAGTTTAGGTACTTTGCATTGGAAAGACTGTAAAGGTGAAGTAAAGCAAGTCATAAGTGCTGTTCTTGAGCTCCACTTAAATTTCATTTAAATAATTTGTAAGATATTATTTGTCATTAAAATTAAAAAGATAATAAAAAAGATGAAAAAGACTAGACCTTATAGTTCAATACATTATTTCCAGAATTAATTGGAAGGAACATCTAAAGAGGAAAGAACAAAACTTAAAATTGTTAGTTTAAATCTTGTAAGGAAAAGTTTACTAGAAAGAGACTGCATTGCAAATTACAGTCTGAACTCGATTTGCATTGAGGATGTAATTACCTAAGTGTAATTACATCCTCAATGTAGGTAAATATGAATCAGATAAATAAGTAAAATATGAATCTAATAAATAAGTAGGTAATATATGAAGATATTTTGTGTTATATTAATTCTTAATCTGTCAATACATTTTTAAAGGAAACCTATCAACAAATGATCGATAAGAATCGAGCATTCAGCCAACAAATTGCCAGAAGAAAAATTCAGCAAGCACGCAGGACATTAGCAATGTCACAGCAGAACAACAGGAATCAGGCAAGACATAATATTGTTGATGCAAGAAGAGGAATTGCAGAAGGAATGAAGGTTAGTTTAAAAACAAAAGTTGGTAACATCATCACTTTTTGGGCTGGCCATCTATAGCTTCCTGGTGCATTTGCTTTGATATCACTGAGGTATCCACAAAAGTACTGGGCCTTTGAACTTGCATAGGCCAACCAAATACCATGACCAAAGTCTGGTGTGTAAATAAGGGGAGCATGGGGGGTTCTGAAATTGACCCAAAACTTAATAAAACTGCTAATCCAAGAAAGTACAAATAAAGCAAAACATTATACTGTACTGTACTGTAATGTAGATTGGACCATGTATGATTGGGACATGAGTGAGCTTCGGTAGCATTGTGTGAGTGAATATAAGGACTAATATATATCCTTCTCCCAGACTTCCCTCCTCTCTCCTGTATCCTCACTCCTTCCCCTGTGCTTGATTTTGCCTTTCTTGCTTATGGATTCTGCTTGTGTGATGAAAAAAGATTATTGGTTTACCCGGTAATCTTGATGAATTATACCCCTTTTCTTGGCTGGTTAATTAAGTGGTTTTGGTGTGTGGGAGCAGTCTGGAATTCTCGGCCATTATTAGCAAATTGGTTTGCCTGTTCTGTTGGGTCAGGTGGCCTGTTTACTGTTTTTAACTGGTTTTGCGGTGGCTTCCTCAGCCACCTGCAACAACTAATATTACTTGTAGCTTTCGGGGAAAAAAAAAGTACTGTAGTTAGTAAACAATTGATAGACAGTTGAGACGCGGGCTGAAAGAGTAAAGCTCAACACCCCGCAAACACAACTAGGTGAATACAGGTGCCTATTTACTGCTAGGTGAACAGAAGCATCGAGGTGAAAGAAACTGCCCATTTGTTTCTGCCTCTGATGGGAATCGAACCCGAGCCTTTATGACTATGACCCCCAGAGCGCTGTCCACTCAGTTGTAAGGCCTCGGTGTGTGTGTGTGTACATGTGTGTACATGCATCTTGGCCGGTATGTAAGTGGGAGTAAGTTGTGAGGAAGCAGGCTGGCTGGACCTCTGGGTGACTTATGGTTCCACTTGGTGGTCCATTTGGATACTAGCACATGGTTTGATGATATGCAAACTACTGCTTCCTTTGTTTACACCTTGCTTTCTCACTTTAATCAAGATAGATAGTTTGTTTTGCTTTGCTTGTACTTTGTTAGGTTTTACTTGGTTTTAGATCAATCTCAGATCACAATGCTCCCCTTACCTCCATGAGCACATCAGATTCTGGTCTTGGTGTTTACAAAGTTTGTACAAATCCAGATGCAAGTTAGTTTTGTGGATGTCTCTGTGTTGCAGGAACTAATGCACCTGGAAGCTACTAAGGTTGCCCAGAAAAGGGTGTTTCATTATATCCATAAATTTCTATATACGTCTAATAGCACCACCTAATTCAATTTTCCAATATCTGAACTAAAAATAATTTTTGTTCTCTTTTCGTATTGACTTAAATAAGTACAGTATCCATAGTAAGACTATCTGTACCTTATGTTGTGACATATTTTGTTTTTCTTCTGACAAGTTTTCTTTAATATCTAGAAAGTTGACTTGAATCTACAAATTACTTAAGTTTGAGCAAAAAAAATAAAATAAAAGGTATGGGCTACTTTTGAAACTGAGCAATGTAACCCCATAGCCTCTAGTATTTTTATTTTATTTTTTTTCCCTTAAGTTTATCTATTATAATAATTCCATTGAAATGGGATTTGTTAGTATCTCATTTGAGCTCTAGAGCCATCTATTGACAGCAAAAATAGTCCTGCATATCCTAACTATTGTAAACAATTTGTTTAGTGATAGATCACTTCAGTTCTGTGGCCTATTCAAGTCTGAATTTCCATTGATAATACACATAAGAGCATACTGTACAGCACAGTAGCTTAAAAGCATTGTCATATCCTGTAATTTTTAATTAAAAGTATTCCTCCTTTAATAGCTGAAGTGATTTAACAAAATATATTTATCTAGCCTATAGTCACCAGCCTCACTCTGGCTGGTGACTTGACAGTCCCATCTTAAGTGCTGCTGCTAGTAGCCTGATACTGTGTCCCTTCTCCTCTCGTTTCTCTCAACAGCATACTCCTTGTATTCCCTGAAGTTCATTGCACCTTCAGTATTCATTTCCTCATGTTATCAATGGCCTACTACCTGTTGATTATTCTAAGTATCAATGTTTTAAGTATCACAGCCACCCGGTCTCTGACCAGGTCTCCTGGTTGCCGGTCTGATCAACCAGACTGTTCGATGCAGCTGCTCTCAGCCTGATGTATGAGTCAGAGTGATTGATCATTTATCCTTTGAAGACGTGTGTCAAGTTCTCTCTTGAACACTGCGAGAGGTTGGCCAGTTATGCCCCATATGTATAATGGAAAAGAAATAACACTGGGCAACATGGGTTCATTTTGCCCAGTGTTATGTAGACACTGTTTTGTGATCTTACTTTTTAGAGCGCCTTTAAAGATTTTATTATGTGCAATGTTAGTTTTGGGTCATTTTTTGCATCAGCTTTACTGCCTCCTTTGTGAAATGGTGCAGTCTCAGCAGTTTTAAGTACATCAGGAATAACACCAGTATCTAGGCTCTGTCTCAAAGATGTTTAGGGCCTGTGATTGTGTTTTTTTTCGCAATTCTTGATGATTATAAAATTCCAGGAATCTGGGCCTGGTGCCGATTGGCACTAGTGCATGCTGCCTATGGACACTAGTGCATGCTACCTAGTGCTACTTCAAAGTTGAGTGGGGTTAGTGTAATATCTGATATGTGGTTCGATGGTGGTGTCACATTCATGAAGAATTAATTTGGATCATTGATCTGCAATGTGTTCAGGGGCTCACTGAAAACTGAATTGTACTGTAACCTCAGTATTTCACTCATTTCTTTGCTGTTATCTGTGAAGGTTCCATCACCCTTGTGCAAGGGCCCAATGCAGGATGTAGTTTTTTCTGTATTTTACATAGAAGAAAAAGAATTTTGGATTCCTCTTTAATTTTGCTTATGGCCTTTTGCTCTCTTTGCCTTTCCTGGATATTATATGATTCTTGGAACTTTAACTCAATCGTTTCTGTTTCTCAACATAGTTGAGAAATGTTTCAACATGTTTCTCAACATAGTTGGAAACTAGTTGCAGATGCTCAGCAACTTGTTTTCGTCACCTATAGAGGGAACTCTATTCTCATTCCAGTTTGCATCTTTTTCTCTTTCTTCTTAATGGTATGTGACTTGCACATATTTCAAGTGTTACCATGCCTCTTTTCATAAGGCACTGGTTTAAGTTTGCATTATCTAGTTGTCTTTCCTGGCATATTTCTGTGAGGGCTTGGTTTATTTGTTCCCAGTTAATCTGTTTATTGAAATTGAATTTGCTGAATTCTCCTCAAACCACATTTTATTTTTGATAAATTTATTGTGCATTCCTTTGGGTCATATGGCTAGAAAAATGCAGTTATAGTGATGAAATGGTAAATACAGTGCTGTAATTAGACATGATTAGAAATTGTTATGGATGGTATGAATCTAATACATTTTTCTGCATTGTTGTATATGTATTGGATTATATTCTTGCAGTGTTAAGATTTCTTTTGACTGCATCCCAGCAGACCAAAGGGAACTTGGGAACACCACTGAGAGTGCGTGTTGGCAGTGGAACCATTGTAAGGGGACTTCGCTCAGACCAGCTTTTGCTTCACAAGATGAAACACTCCTACAATACTCCTGATGCAAGATTGGACAGTATAGACACATTCAAAGAAAAAGTTAGTAGAATATTCTTTTATTTTTCAGTATTGCTTTTGCTGTCATACAAATTAATATTGCTAATTATCTTTGTGAAGTGAAAGGATACTGTACATAGTGTTTGTAAGTACCCATACATACATCCTAGTGTGTAAAGGTAATGCTGAAGGAAAAAAATAAGATGGTGTTTTGGAAATAATGATTGCATGGACAGGCTGTAAGACGGTAGGAAAGTTACTGTAAAAGGAGATGAATGCTAAGGTGGAGAATGAATGTCAAGATCATGTTGAAAAGTGGGATGGAAATGGGAATTAGGATATCTTAGATGTATTTGGAGAGGACTTTAATTCTAACAAATAGTTTTTGAGCATAGTTTCATACATAGGTATTCTGTACATGAGGCAAAAGGAATGAAATGAAGTAAAAGAGTATTATAATGTGTTAATACACAACGTTAAAGTTGGGTGAAGAATAAAATGGTAGGGAGGGAATTGTATATATTTATATTTCTTTACAAATAGAAGGCATCTACTCCTATACCCACCTGACTTGTTAGAAGGTTGAGAGCTTTTTCTCTCTCCAAAGGGCATCTTCAACAAATATTATTGTAGTCTTGTGTCTGGTATCATTTTACAACTGTAGCACAACATTACCAAAATAGTGGTATTTATAATTCTTACCTTCTGGGCAATCATAATATATAACCAAAGTTTATAAAATAAAATTAATAAATATATACAGTGGAACCACAGTCTACGAATTTTATCTGTTCCAAGAGATGGTTCGTACACCGAAACAGATATTCCCATAAGAAATCCTGTAATGTAAATTGAATTAATCTGTTCTACACACCCAAAAACATTAATTTAAGAATGCATTGTATACTCTACTATGTATAGTATACAGTATATAAAAATACTACTCATTTTTATACTATACCTAACCTTTATTGCCTTTATTGAGGACTCTTGTTGGCGTATGGAAGATGGTGAAGAAGGGGGTGGGGGGGTGTTAATGTTTGGAAGGGGGAGTCTCATTCCATTATAACGTCACCAAGGCAGTGATGCCATTTTGGGGGGCTCTCTCTCTCCATACATTTTGCAGGCATACCAATAGGACCCGGTTGTGGCTCACTGCTTACTTGTCTTACTAAGAATTTGTCTATAGACACTTGTATTTTCCTACGTTTCAACACTTGTCTGAAGTGAGACATCACAACCCTTTCACATCAACATCCTCAAGTGTTTATGTTCTTTGTTTTGTGATTGCTGTAACACTTTTTGCCACTTTAGCATTCGTAATTTCCTTTTTCTTAGCAATTAAGGTGCATATCGTTGACATAGATTTATTCTACTTCCCAGCTAGATCAACAACCCGCATACCATTTTTTCTTATTTGTGAATGATCTCTTGTTTTTTCCTCTATTGTCATCCTCACAACTATTTTCTTAGGTTGAACTTTACCATTGACTTTCTTGGGACCCATGGCATGATATATAATAAGAACTTTTATGTCCAGAACCACCCCCCCCCCCCCCCCCCAAAAAAAAGCAGAAAACAGTGAATTCAAGCATGGTCGTCACTAAGCGGGATACGCTGGTAAATTGAGCGTGCTTCACCCCATGCCCAGCAGAACCCATACGACTGATCCATACAAGTACAGTATCAACAAATAACTCTTACTCCGAGGCAAACTTTGTATACCAAGTCAAATTTCATGATCAAATTTACTTTGTACACCAAAAAAATTCATACTCTAGGGCATTCGTAGACCGAAGTTCCACTGTATTATGACACTATTTTGGTAATAACATTTATGAAATAAATTGTCTGGAAAAAAATTACAAAATTTGATCAAAACTAACAAACGTAATGTTTCAGTGGAAATAAGAGGTCTAAATTTGCAGTAAAGGCAGATTGAAGATCACTGTTGTTGCCATCCTCTCTGACCTGGAAAAGCCTTATGATTCTACCTGGAGAGACAATGTTTTGTCTCAACTACACTCTTTTTGGCCTTCATGGCAATCTCCCAGTCTTCTTTCAAAGCTTCCTTTCTAGTCGTGCGTTTAAAGTGAAACTTGGGGCCTCGTTCTCAGACTCCTTTTGATAATATGAAGGTGTTCCAAGGTAGTGTTCTGAGCACTACTATTTTCCTGGTTACACTAAATAGACTTCCTTCCTCTCTTTCCTCTGGTATTTTTACAGATGGGATTTGGCTACAGGTATTTTTTTGTTTATATATATATAGAAAAGCAGCTGGCATAAGTATGTGGGATGGGTATGAATGAAAGATGTGATATAATGAAATTTTAAGTAGTGGAGTGGGTGAAACAATACCTTTTGGTGGTATAGAAATGTTAAAAGGCTGCCTCAAAACTGTTTAACTAAAAAGGTATACTGTAAAAGATTGAAATAAGGGCATCATATGACCAGAAGAGTGAAACAGATAAGAGGTTGTAGGGGAAAGGATTAGTGATCTTGAAAGAGTGAAAGATTTGCAGGTGATATCTTCTGGGAGGGAGTATAAGCCATTGTGGTCATAGAAATAAATAAAAAATTGCTGAATAAACAGATTTATTAGCTTAATATTATACACAAGGTTTACTTGCAGAAGCATGTCAGCCATTACTGTTCTTAATCACCAAAATTTTGCATTCATTTCAATTTTGTATTTCACGTCTAGTCCAGGTTTACAGGTTGCATGTTTGTTCTGAAAATATATTTTGACAGTTGTTTCTAATGACACTATTATTTCTTGCAGAGTGTTGGTAATGACTCTCCAAGGGGAGCAAGTTCAGTAGTGTCTCACTCATCTCAATGGGGATTGACAGTCAGTATAAAAAACAATATTGCTTCACTACACTCACAGAACAATGGTATGTATAATTAATGTTATTTTATAATTTCTTTGACCTCTACATTCATTGAGGACCTTGATAAACAGACCTCAATAGATATATTATCTATTGATATAGAATAATTGATATAGATATATTATCAGTCATGAGTGGATTTAGCAGAAGCAGATTTTTACAGCTACCAAAGAATTAGTATGAATTGCATTTATACTCATAGCCAGTTACACTGGATTTACATAGCCACTAGATGAGGTATCTGACAGTGTCCAGGTGGACCCAGTACCCAGGGGCCAGATTCACAAAGCAGTTATGCAAGTACTTACGAACCTGTACATCTTTTCTCAATCTTTGGCGGCTTTGTTTGCAGTTATTAAACAGTTAATGAGCTCCAAAGCATGAGGAGACTGTTTATAACAATAACAGCTGTTGATTGGGAAGTTTCCATGCTTGTAAACTGTTTAATAAATGTAACCAAAGCCGTCAAAGATTGAGGAAAGATATACATATTCGTAAGTACAGTACTTGCGTAACTGCTTCGTGAATCTGGCCCCAGGTATCTCTCAACTTCTCAGGTCCTCCCATCCCCTATCACTAAGCATCTTCACACCCTACATATCCCTGCCTTATAAATATCAAACATATATCATAGAATACAACTTTTATCATTCATTTTAAAGGAAAAAAGGTAATAGCATTCACTTAAATATCAATTAAACACTTGACTTTGTGAAGGGGCATAGGGACCCAACCAGCCTGTGAAACTCCCTATAAACCAATAAATCTGCAAAGTTTAATGAGGCTAGCTTCAAGTGTCTGGCCTCCAACCTTGGATAGACAAAAACAGACATTCTTGTATGGGAGGGGAGGTTATTCCTGGGTATCTCCCTCAAACTTCCTGTCTGTTTTCCTATCCCCCAATCCCTTTCTACCAATCGTTTTCCCCCCCTTTCTACTCGTCTTTCCTCTCCAAACTTTGTTGTTGCTTCCCCCCCCCCCCCTCAAATTATGCAATGAAAGAAGCTGCTTTATAAATAAATAAATAAATTATATTTGATAAATATAAAAAGACATATTTGACTTCATGAAGAGTGTACAGAGTGGTTGGGTTAGATGCTGATATTTCTTAGTGCGGCACTGGGTCTGAAACCGTATAACAATACCCTATCTATCCATGTGTGAAAGTTGGGTAAAACTAGTTTTAAGTGTTTGGTCTTGAACAAGCAGACATTCTACTTTACAGATATAGGTATTAGTTTAATGCTTTACCTGTATTTTGGCAAATAATTTATAATTATGTCTTTCCCCTCAGGCACTGTTTCCCGAAGTAGACCACGTCTTAACAGAAACAGAATGAATCAATTCCAATCCAGAAACTATGCTCCAGGGACTTTTACAGTTGTAAATGATCATGTCTACCATCCTCCAGAGCCACCATTTAATTTATCTCGAGAGCCTCCCAGAAAATTAACTAAGCGCAATATTATTTCAAAGCGGGATCCAAGAGCTAGAATGGCAGTGTCCATGGTGAATATACCTCCAGAAAATGTGAGGACCATTCCTGAACCCCATCGGCAAATATTAGATCCCAAAGTTCAAAAAGAAATAGCAATGCTGCAAGGCAAAGATGAAATATCTTTGAACAATGGTCCAGGTCCAGGAGTGAAGGGGTTCAGACATATACCCAGCCAAACCACACGCTCCCTTAATGAACGCTTTACTGAAGAAAGAATAGTAACAGCCTAACCTTGTTTTGAATGTCTTGGTGTAAAAAGCATTATATTTAAGATTAAAGACGAAAATGGTACTTAATTACAAAATGGTTATATTATTTTCTTACACCTTTAGGATATTTTTAATTCAATAATTTTTTGCAGTTTAATGGTCTACACATCTAGGTGTAATGTATTTATTTTGTTATTCAGTATAAATACTATATAGTGTATTCTTATTTTAATATATAAACATTTTGGGAAATACTTAGTCATGACAATTTGCAGATTGCAAGGGGTCTTGTTCTTCACTTTAATTACAGAATGCCTCTGTTTTAAGCATTGGCAAAATACAATGACATTTAATGTCATCAATTTTGTATGTACTGTAGTTTTAAGAAATTGAAATACTGTACAATCTTTTCATACTGTAGATATATGTGAATAAATGCAGACAGTTTAATTTACAGTGCTTGTGTGTATCCTGCTAGAGGGGCTGCGAGTTAGTGCGAGACTACTGCTGTAGATATTTTAACCAAGTTTTCTTGTTTGTTAATAGCATATATAAATAGCTTTATCTAAACATTTTAAGAGTTAAAAATCATAGTGGATAATTTATAATTGACCAAATTGTGCAATCCAGGCATTGGTTTTAATGTAAATTTTTATCAATATTATGTATACATTATTTAAAATACATTTCTAATAACAATTGTTTAGTGCAAGTCTTGTGTAGGTTCCTAATTAGTCAGGAAAATGTGCCAGATATGGATTTTAGTTAACAAAAGCCAAAGTGTAGTTGTTCAGTGAAGTTCATTTTATGTGAATTATGTGAAATAAGTTGAGTTTAACCCTTCAAAACTGATAGTATTATTGTACAAAACTACATGGTAGTTTTGCAAAAACTTGCACACACACATTACGTGCATGTTGGGTACCATTTCAACCTATCACGTTTGATCGGTTGAAACTTATCTAAAAAATTTAATCAGACTAATCTAAAATTTAGTCAAAATCTAAATAATGGAAGGCTCCATTATTTAGATTTTTCTGTAGCACTGATATTTATGATTTATATAAATTATAAATTGTTATATAATTCTTATACATGATATAATCTTTATAATTTATATTTATAATACTATATTCATTGTGGTTTTAAATTTTAATTTTTTGTGTCCATTTCATATGAAAATACATTTTCATATTGAACATTGCCACACCAATCACAATATATTGTGATTACAAATTAGGTGCCTATTATTTCTTTGACTTGTAGCCTCTATTAGTAGATTATTTTGAAACCCCCTTTAAACGGTACATCAAAAGAGCAAGATACTTTTAGTAATATCTTAATCTAATGTGTACCTGCACCAAAATTTCTAAACATGACCTGATGCCAATGGATACTCCCTATACTTTGCTACAACAAACTTATTGGATGTTCAACACTAGTCATGTTTTGTATAACAAATTTTAAACCTTAATGACATCTGACCCACCTCTTCATCCAAAGACTGGTTATATTCCATTCAAACTTTGATATCTTGAAACCAAACCTAATAAACAAAATTTTTATAATGGCTCTAATAGTTTAAATTTCTAAATTCTGCATAATTACAATGAATGAAAGTGATGTCAATGTCTTGGAATCAAATTTATTCTCTTGCTTAAAAAAAAATGGTTAAATGTTCAAATAAAACTTTATTTTTGTACAATCCATTTTCAATTTCAGCCTCCAGGCCAATTATGTAAGTACTGTACATCAATAGAGTGATGCCTGACAGACCTTCCCTCTCTTTCCTTACGTACACTAACCTGACTTCCATTCCTAAACCTATTCCAATACCAATTACAAACACTATCACTGCCAAACAAAATAGACCATATCTCCAAAAGACTAGAGCATGTAACTTGATAGACCACTAATATTCAAAAGGCACAGTAACATACTGTACATGTATTAGAAATGTCAACTGAAAATGGAATTTCTTCATCTTTAAAAATGTGTATCATCACAGTTTCTGCACATCAGTTATGATGAAGGTCTATGATGGTGAGAGCTGAGGATGGGGTGAAACTGTTGAGAAATGTGGCAGGGGTGATACAGTAGTATTTATTAGAAGCAATTGATTTTGGGGGTTAGTGATACAAAAATTGTAAATAATGTATATTGCATAGCCTACTGTGATAAGATGATTCTAGTTGGTATTATTGAATGAAATTAATAAAACTTAAATACAAATTGAGAATGAAAAAGGATATAATGAAATACTTTGTCAACCTTTTAAAAGTAGGATATCAGACTAGATTGAACATGGTTTCTATAAGTAGGATATCAGACTAGATTGAACATGGTTTCTATAAGTAGAAGTTAACTAATGTGGGTCAATCAAGCCTACTGTGGTGTAGGTTTGGCTGCATATTGAGTATATGTAGGGTTATTTTGTAAAAAGTACTGTACAGTACATAATAGCCTAGTGTGTATAAGTAATTATCAAAAGAAGGCACCATGCTGAGCAGACTGTAGCGCCATCAGTGTCGGTGGATATTTAAAAGGTGCTAAATAATACTTCGGATGCCAATACAAGTACAAAGAGACAAGGCCTGCGATATCAAATGCACTGAATTCATCAAGGAGTGTCCTGAAAAATCTGTACACGTTACAAGGTGGTGTACAACTAAGTGGGACAATGCAGTTTGAGCAATAAAGAGCAGGGCTGTGTTCCATTAAGTGCCTGTGAGTTAATATGTATGGCCAAAGCCGTTTCCTACCATCTGTTATTGTAGTAGGAGAAAAACCAAGGGGATAAGTTACTTTTAAGAGTGCACAGTTTGCTACCTGTAACACCAGACCAATGACTGCCAACAATCATGGATTGAGAAGAATATGACTGGGTAGAAATTTCAACAAGGAAAACCTTTTAGGGAAATAAGACAAGTGCAGATAGCCTCCTTTGTGGCAATATCTGCATGTTTGTTTAAGGTATTGCCAATATAGCCGAGAACTCTGGAAAAACTACCTTAAACCTGCTAGAGATAAACAGCTAATATTGGATTTCAACAATCACAGGATACACAGAGTTAAATGACTCCAGAACTATGAGGGCACTGTATCAATCACAATGACATAGGAACGTTAACGTTGGAAAAGCAGTCACAGCGTACACAAAACTGCACAAAGTTACGCCATGAAGATAGTAGCCTCCGAGGTATGCGGCACATAGAGGTTTTGGCCAGAAAAGACAACGGAGTAGCCGACACCGCCGGCAGACTTAGACCCATCTATCAATAGGGCAATGGAGTGTAAAGAAATGTTCAAGGAAAAGATGTTTCAAAACAGTAGGAAGGATACAAGCCTTTAACATGTGGGTTTAGGTCTTGCAAAACTTTACAACCGAGACCCTCCATGAAGAAACGGATGGAATGACACAAGGTGATATATTGCAAGCGTGAACCAAGGGGGAATTTTGCAACCGAGACATCCTTACAGAAAAAGGAAGGTGATGAAAGGGGACAGGGCCCATCTGAGGGTCCTGTTCACAACACAAGGTGTTGTGAACAGGAACAGTCAAGACACAACACAAGGTGGTGATTTAAGTGACTAAGTTTAACCCAGGAAAGTGTAAAGTAATAAAATTAGGTGAAGGGAGCAGGAGGCCAACACAAGGTACCATCTAGGAGGTGAAATACTGCAAGAGTCAAATAGAAAGATCTGGGGGGGGGGAGGTAATATCACACCGAACCTCTCCCCAAAAACCTACATCAAAAGGATATCAGCGGCATATGCTAGATTGGCCAACATAAGAACTGCCTTTAGAAACTTGTAAGGAATCATTCAGAACCTTGTATACCACTTATATCGGACCAATCCTGGAGTATGCAGCTCCAGTCTGGAGTCCATACCTAGTTAAACACAATACAAAGTTAGAGAAGATTTAGAGGTATGCCACCAGACTAGTCCCAGAACTGAGAGGTATGAGCTACAAGGAAAGACTATGGGAGCTAAACCGCAGGTCCTAGGAAGACAGAAGAGTAAAGGGGGACATGATCATCACCTACAAAATTTTCAGAGAAATTGACAGGGTGGACAAAAAATATTTAGCATGGGTGGAACACGAACAAGGGGACACGGGTGGAAACTTAGTACCCAAATGAGCCACAGACATATTAGAAATAATTTTTTCAGTGTCAGTGTAGTTAAATAATGGAATGCATTAGGCAGTGATGTGGTGGAAACAGACACAGACTCCATACAGTTCAAATGTAGATTGATAGAGCCCAATAGGCTCAAGAATCTGTATACCAGTTGATTGACAGTTGAAAGGTGGGGACCAAAGAGCCAAAGCTCAACCCCCGCAAGCACAAGTGAGAGTGAGGATGTTGCAGGGACCATGCGAGGTAGAAAAAACAGTAATGATCATGATGCAGTTGAGACAGGATGCCAGTTTCAACATACAAGCTCTGGGTAGGGAACAAACGAAAGGCACCAGAGCTGAGGCGCAACTCAATATGATACAGAGCATCAAGACGTCGATGGAGAGGCGGAGCAGCCACAATCGAGTTTAAACAGCACAGGAGAGGAGTATAAATTTTATGGTGTGCATTTATCAGCTCCCCCTGCAAAAAAAAAAAAAAAAAGTCCCAGGAATTAAGGGAAAAGATTAATTAAGATGAGGGCTTTAGAGCATTCAACTCTATCGAGATGGGGGTGGAAATTGGGAGAAGGATTGAAGCCTTACCAGCAGTGGAGGAAGAGGGAAAGGAACCGGGTTCACGTTTCTGACTATCAGTAGCAATAATTATAATAATTCATTGCTGTCTGGGTACAGGCAACCAGTTTATTCGTACAGTAAAGGTTATGCTTATATCGAGTGGTCCCCTACCAAGGGTCAAATTACTGACCGTCCCCCACGATGCAACCCCACAAGGAGCTCACTAATTCTTGGGTACCTATATTAGGGAAAGGATAGGTCCATTAAAAACTGAGGCAGGTCAGATAACGGATAATGACGAAGAGATGAGTAGTATTTTTAATATTTTATCTCTGTATTTATTAAAGAGGAACTTAACAATATGCCTTCGGCCCGAGTGGGTGGTTATAAATGGGAGCTGCTTCGTATGTGCCAATAGGCCTTCTGCAGTTACCTTTGTACTTATGTTCTTATATTTACTGTTAGGTAGACAGGGGACCATTAAGTGATAGGAAATGCGTCAAACCATTTCTGTCCCGACAGGGATTCGAACCCGAAATTCTCTATGAGTCGAGAACGAACCAGACTACTACCAGAACCCTCATGTACATGCACAATGTACATGAGGGTTCCCTCATGTACAGCTTCCACAGTCTCAGGCAGAGGGGCAGAACGAGAGCGGACAATACGATTAAGATGGCTGGGAGGCGAGATGAATTCTGCGTGGACCGACATTTACCGGGAAGGGCCAAAAGACTTGAGGGGGAAAGAAG